GCATATTGTATGCATGTATGTGTTTGTGTCCGTCCTTCTGTCCATCCTTCTCAAATGTCTTTGTCTCCCCTTGTGTTTCTATCACATATCATTTTACTTCTTCGACCTGCAAGGGAAAAACTTCAGATTCTTCTTTAACACCACCTATTCCCTCACCAAGACCTAGCCATTTTACCTTCAAATCTTTCAAAGCTGTCAAGTTCTTTGGATTTTTAACACCACCACTCTAGGCTGTCACAGCTCTTGACTAAAATATTGTGACATTCTTCCACCTGGTTTACTCCAGTTCATTAATGAACTCCTTCAATTTCTTTACTCTGTAGCTGAAGTTATTTCAAAATAAATTTTGTCACTTGTTACCTCTTCTTCTCACCTACATGATGGCAAAAACTTTGAACAACTTTCCATTGCTCCTGGAATAATGACCAAACGCCTTGAAGCCAACAAGACCCTCTATTGTCTGTCCCCTGGCTATCTTCTTAAATATGCAGCCATCCATTGTTACCATAAGGCTTACCACAAGGCTTCCATCCTTTTTATCTGTTTAGGAGCACAGAACCTTGCATAACTTACCATTTATTAATAATACTTAGAACAGTACCCAGAATTTTGAATGAATTGAATGAGCCACTATAAGTTAATCAGAGTAACATTAGCAAGTCTCCTTGCAAAGTGTAATACACACAACGAAGAAAACACTGAATGGAACACATGAGACTTCAAACATTTCTAGGCTGATTAAAATAGATCAGAAAAACAGAGATGTTCATTATTAAAGAGGCAGATAGACAGCTAATTTTCTTAGAAAAAATAACATTTTTTGGAGTTCCTAATTTTAAATTACCTAGTGCCTTCCAAGATGATGCAATCAAACAGATATTTAAAGACACGTTTGTAACAGGGTAGAAAGCAGAAATACATTTGAGTCAACAACATTAACTAACACTTAATAGGGGCCTATTAACGTTGTTTTAGATACTTTATTTTCACTGAATCTTATAATCACCCTCATTTTACAAAGGAGGAAACAGGCACAGGAAAAATAGGCACCACTGAAATGATAGAGATGCCATTGGCTGTGTCTTCAAAACCCTGCTCTTGGCCTGAGGGTATAGTTCAACAGTAGAGTGCCTGCCTAGCATGAACATGGTCCTGGGTTCAATCCCCAGCACTGCAAACAACAACAAAAACACTGCTCTTGACTATAATATACAACAAGGAATAATTCATTGAATGATTTATATATTAAAGCCAAGGTAGTACCTGGCCTAACAAAACCATCAAGAAAAGGGGAAAGAGACTATGGGAAGAAGGAATGAGGTTATGGTGTAAAAAAAGAAAATAGCTAAAAATCACATATTCAAGGAAGACAACAGCTTTATCAAAATTCTAGAAACGAAGAAAAAAGCAATCAGTTAATGAGACAATTCATAGGCTAGTAATCTTTCTATGAATGTCCAATTCTGATTCTGTATTTACAATATTTTTCCCAAGTATGTGGTAATGCAAAATGGACTTTACTTACTGCAGTTCTGAAATACATTACACATTATAATTTATACATGTGCTACATAAATGGATTTGAAGATTTTAGCCCCTTCTTTCAAAAATAGCCAGTAATTTCATTTAGGAGTTGACTCAAAAAAATTTTAATATTTTTGTTTTAGTTATAGTTGGGCACAATACCTTTATTTATTTATTTATTTATTTGTATGTGGTGCTGAGGATCGAACTCAGGGCCTTGCATGTGCTTCGCAAGTGCTCTACCGCTAAGCTACAACCCCAGCCCCAACTCAAAATTTACAATCATTTTGAACAATTACTTTTTTTTKKGGGGGGGTGTCAAAGATTGAACTCAGGGGCACTCGACCACTGAACCACATATCTGCAGCCCTATTTTGTATTTTATTTGAGACAGGGTATCACTGATTTGCTAAGTGCCTCACTTTTGCTGAAGCTGGCTTTGAACTCAAGTTCCTCCTGCCTCGGCCTCCCCAGCTGCTGGGACTACAGGCATGAGCCACAGTGCTCAGCAAACAATTACTTTTTAATGTTACTACTTTCTTCGTGAAACTACTGAAACCTACCACAAAGTCTTATGAACACACACACACACACACACACACACACACAAAATATAGGGTCTTTACAGACCTGCAGTTAAAATATAAGTTGATTAAGTTAACCCAATTTAAAGAAAATATGTGAACTCAATTCACTAATTTTTCATTCACTGATACACAGACTGTACCTTTAAAAAGACTATATCATATAACATAAATGAAATGAAGCATATTGAATGGCTAATGCTTTCAAATATTTTGCTCCTACAAATCTTCTGGATCTGTTGGGAAAAGAGGCTCAGGCCTAGCATGAGCAGGGTCCTGGGTCCAATCCCCAGCACCACAAAATAATATGCAAGTCAGGCTTGATAATACACACATGTAGTCCTAATATGGGAAGAGTACCTGAACTCAAAAATTCAAGACCAGCCTAGGCAAGATGGCAAGACTGTTTCAAAAACCTAAAAAATGAAAAAAATAAATAATTTCCTGAATCTAATAACTTGCTTCTTCAAATTTGGATCTATTTTCAAAAGTGTGGGGATACCTTTGTCTCCTCTAAAAAATGTTTTTCCATAAAGTTAGATTAATTTACATTTGTATTACAAAATACTTAAGTCTTACTGCCTCCTAAAGATTACTTAAGTAATTCTGATTTTTCTCCAGAACCACCTAGTAAAGATTAATTTAGGAATCTTAAGCAGTGTTATGAATACTAGCAGGAAAAGTTTAAACTTTTGAAATTACATATGCTTTAGAACCTTATTTTTCATTTGAGGCATGACTAAATATGCCTAAATGAGCATTTCTAACATTCTTATATAGCTTGTTCTCATTCCTGATCTTAGGCCACACATCCATTATAATAGCCTGGATCCTCCTCTCATCCCTTCTTTCTCACTTTTCCTTCTGAGATATTAGGTAGCAATCCTTTAGAAAACCCAAAGAATTTTTTTCTTTCTTTCTTTCTTTTTTTYTGGTCAAATAACTATTTAGTGATATGCTTTAGATTATTTCTCTTCTTCCTTACTTTCTACTATTATATTGTTTAACTTGTATACCAGCTGTCTAACTCTATTGGCATAGATCTAACAACGTTCAAGTGTTACTTAAATGTTTTGCCTATTTATACATCAAATATCACAAATAATAAGCAGTTGATTTTCAGAATAATTCCTTATTTTTACTTAGGTTGTATGAAATGCAAGTGGGAGAAGATAGTTGGGAACATAAAACTACAGATTAAATTCGGGACATAGATAAGTGCTGCAGACATCAGTAGTTTATTGTTGGTTTAGTCCAAACACATTCAAAATGGAAACTCAAAAAGAATACTTTCCACCCGAAACAATTAAACTAGGTTCTACTAGCATATAATGCTTAACACATTACAGCAATAAAGATGGTAATCCATTGTCTTCTATACCTTCTAAAGCCAAAATGGTAAAGCCAATTTGGTTGCAATAGTGTCATAAGGATAGAATATTACCATCAAAAAATAAAATAAAATCAGAAAATAACAGTAATGATAGATGAATATTTTTACTGCTTCACCGAAAAAGGGACAAAATGTTAAAAGTCCACAGTACTGCAGGTGAACAATCACCATGTAAACTTCTCCATATGATGTTTTAATGTTTCATTTCTAGTATGTAAAAACTGAAGCTGAATGGCTCTTTGCTCTACTTTTCTATTACACTTAACATTTGTCATTTCTTTTGGTGCCAGAACAGTTTTTATGGGTTACAGGGCAATATCCTGGATTGGAAATATATATATATATATATGTCTATATATATGTGTATATATATATATATATATGTGTGTGTGTGTGTGAGTGTATATACATATATATACATATACATACATATATATATGATGGGAAGGAGAAAGAAGAGGAAAAACATGCTTGGGGGGGGAAAACACTGACAATAGAACCACTTATTTAAAAGTAGTTTGGATAAAGGCTTCAAAACTTCAAAGTAATTTTCTGGTAAGAACTTCAAGTACTATACATTAGAAAGTGTAAAACTGTTTCAAACAAACAAAACAAACAAACAAAAATCCTTAAGCCCACAAAAATGAAAATCTATGTCCCAAATATATGCAATAGTGCAAGACTTTTCCTCAAACATGGAAGACCTCATTGGGGGGAGGGGGGGGACAAGATTTAATTGTATTCATATTGCCCAGTTCATAAAAAACAAAATACATGCATCATTTGCTAGTTTACTAAATAGCAAACAGTTGCATAATTCAGAACCAATTTGCTACTATGTCAAGTGCAGATTTTGTTTTTACTTAGAATGGAGAAGTCTTCCATGCCAACAAGCAGCTTTAAGTGGTTACACACTTATTTACCCCACTTTTTGCCTGAAACATCAGAAACTGGTATGTACTGATTGCTCCAAKCATAAAAATTAGATAACCTTGGCCATACTTGTGGTATACTGGAACTTGCTACAAAGACAGAAAATAATCCAGCAGCTACAAATTTTGCCTACAGAATTGTTTAGAGATTCATGTAAAAATAAAAAGATGTCATCCCAGACTTAAATTCAGGAGCCACTAGGGGGCTGACATCAGTTCAAGAATTGTGCAAAATGAATGACAGTTCCCTGCCCCCCAAATAGAAAATGCAAACACTTAAGAGCTGCTGTTCTTTCCTCTTAAAATTGCAGTATCCTCACTTTAGGTTTAATTGCCACATATGGAATCTGACTGCTTTTAAAATGTCACTAAAAATGTACATCAAGTTGACTGACATTCCCAAGAGTTGAAATGATGTTTCAACGTTCACACTTAAGCTAAAAGTCAACTAGAGACACTCAAATAACTGACTTCTTTCTTCCCTCTCCATTCCAAACACACAAGACTCCCTCCCACAAAGAACACAAAAGTTGTTAACTGAAAAACAAGATAAGTAATAAGCATCTATTTTACTGATTTTAAAGATACTGCAATTTTTATACACTTCAATGATTTTTCAACATTTTGCAGCTGTTTGGCTTTGCAGCACAGCAATTCATAAWCTATACTGTACAAAATTACCAGCAAGACTGGAATGATGTATTAATAGAAGGCACCATCATGCTTATTACATTACCAGAGAACAAAAATACAGGAAAGACAATTTCCACTGTACACAGCTTAAAGAAAGGAAAAGGGAGGAGGAGTGTTGTGTTGAGCAGCCAGCCATCCCTGTACTGAAGAGGGGCAGGTAGAAAACTCTTATGGAGCTACTAAATCTGGTCTAATATTCAAGACCATAACATTTGAAGTTCTGACTTGTTATTTAGTTCACAACTAAATGATTTCCTTCTGGAATATTTCTGTAGTCTTGTTAAGGTTTAAGAGTACACACGCTGGTCACAGCAAGCAGATAAAATGCCCTCATTCACAAACTATTYTCTACTGGAAAAAAGATGAAAGATTTTTTTTTTCCCTGTTGCCTCCTGTTGCAGATGTCAATATTAATGAGTTCAGAGTACCCAATAGTGCATTTTGATGAGTGCATAATAAGTTTCTGTTGGTTTGTATTTTTGGGGGGAGCCAAGAAAAAAGGCAAGATTCTCCAATTGCACAAATTGCACTATTTGTGTTTCCAACATTAATAGGCAGAAACAGTAACACTTAAACAAAATGTGCAGCAGAAGATTTTTTTTTGACTCAAAGGACCTGAATTCAGTGGGCATGTCCTTTTAAGTTCATTTTGTTGTAGATAGTTTTAAGATATGGTCATTTCTCAGTCCTTAATTCCCCAAGTCTAGATTTATAAATTAACAATGTAAATCCTGTTGTGAAATTGGGGAAATAATGTCCACCTCAATTTAACTGAACCAAAGATGCTTTTCACATCAAAGAAATAATCAAAAAGGCTGTGTCACATTCCAAAGCCAAAAAAATTAACAAGAATGCAAACACGATGAATAATGTACCACTGCCAAGACTTTGCCAACAGTGGAGCTTCAGCGACGCTGTCCTGTGAAACGGCCTTCCATTTGCCCGGTTCCTCTCCCAGAGCCAAGTTTCTGTGCCATGCCGCCTCTTGGAGGAGGTCCTCTTCCATCGCGGTCCCGCATCATTCCACCACCCACAATTCCACGTGGACCACCAGGACCTCGATCGTTGCGCCTAATATCTCTGCGATCGTCACCACCACCTCTGGTTTCTTGCTCTCTTGCAGCTCTGGTTTTCTTCTCTTCCACATTTAAACGGACCTCCCCTCGAAACATAATCGGCTTTAAAAGAGGAGAAAAATATTGACATGGGAGGTTAGTATAGTTATTACTCTGCATAAATAAATTAGAACATATTAAGAAATAAAAAAAAACTTTCATGAACATATGCAGTATTTCCAAACTTCTTCAGCAGAGCAAATAAAATTTAAAATATCCACACCTCAGATTTAATACTATTGACAAATCTTTATTCTTTGCATAAATACCATTTCACAATAAACTATTTTTAGCTTTACCATTAAAAAAGATTTCTATTGTTTTAAATGTGCCAAGTTAATAGTTTCTGCAACAGAAATAAGAAAATCTTGACTTATACCCTTTAAATCACTTACTTTTGCAATTAAGATTCTCTGAACTGGTTCAGAGTCATCAAAAACCACAAAACCAAAATTTGGAAGCTTTCCCCCAACACCCTTGGTATTGATGCGAAGTTCCACAACGTTTCCAAAACCTGTGAAAATATACATTACACCAAGGGTTAAATATTTTAACAGAATACTCTGCTGGCTGCAATTGTTGAGGTTGATCTGTTTGAAAATAAAAGTTGCAAGCTGCTATACCCAGTGACAACTAAGGTAACATTCACTTATGTTAAGCCATCACCTTAGATACCAAACAGTTGACCTGGTCTCTTTCATCATTACTAGCCTTTTCATTTAAAAAGTTACTGATAAAGCTTTAGAAAGACAATGTGTTTTCTCGTAATTCTGACTTGTAGTTGGCAAATTTAAGACTCAATTAGTCAGGCTTTTCTTCTCCTAATCAACACTAATCAGTCACTGGGAAACATTAGCTATAGTAAATTTATTTCCTTCAGATCAATTAAGGTGAGACTGGTAGTGGAATACAGAAATATAGAGAAAACCATTTTTAAAAAACTGATTATAAAAAAGGTCTCCCTGCTTAATTTTATTCTTATATTTTAACTTAGAACTTTACTTAAAAGCAAAATAAACCACTTACTCATAAAGAACTCTTTTAGTTCATTTTMATCAATATCATGTGGCAAGTTACCAACAAAAAGTTGATGACTGTCTGGATAGCGAATTATTCTACGGTTGTCAGAGTCATTCTGCTCCATATCTCCTCTGCCTGGGAATAAGAATAGATTTTAAAAATTTATATAAAAAACAGTTCAAAGCAATAAGTGTAAAAGAAATCACTTAATACTGGTATTCTTGTTTGATTCTAATAAAACCAGATGAGCTTCTTCAAGAGGTGGCAGTGTCTATTATTAGTAGGTTAGTCAGAAAATAACATGATACTATATTGTAAAATGAGAATACTGACTAGGACTGCTAAAGTCCCTTCAGGTAGACTACTGGTCTGATTTCAAAAAAGTCAAATAATATTAGAAGTACAGGTATTCTTCCTTAACCAAACTATTGCCATCACCCAAATACCAAGCCTACTTGAGATAGGTATAGTTCTATTAAATATTTGTTTAATCTTTTAATTCAAAAATTAAATCTTTCTATGACATTGCAGTCAAATCAGTAAATTTTAATAGTACCAATATCTCATTTACATAGTCTTTTTTATGTATTATTCTCATCTATAAATCTTATTTGATTGTCCCAATATACAAGCAGCACAATGAGTTGTATAAGACAGTAATGTATTACTCACACAAAAATGTTTGTAAATAACTAATTAGCATTAAAGAAAGCTCAGAATTTAAGCTCTCATTCAATACCATAAACAAAACCAGTAGCAAAGCCAGGATAAATCCTCAGCTTCTGAGACTTCTGATTTAGTCACAAAAAAAACTTATTTAAAATTTTTTTTGAAAAATAATATTCTAAATTTGAATATACGATCTCCCGCCTCCTCCCAAAAGCAATCTAAACATTTGTATAGAATTCAAATAAAGGTACTACATGTATTATTAGCTAGCAATGTAAACAAGTCAAAAATCATAGCAACTTACTTAATACCTAAGACAATCAAAATAAGAAGAATCAGGGTGTGCTTAGTGTTTATCTGTGAAGAGATAAGAGTGCTAAGTAAGAGTAGGCTATTGGCAGCTAGGTTTTGAATTCTTAAAACCAGTGACAATAACCAAATAAATAAAAGTGTCTCAAGTTTAGTGGTATAAAATACCTCCAAAATACATGACTCTCTATGGCATGTCATCAAATAAATGCTCTCTTTTAAAAAAGTTGGCTTTTCTGCCCCAAGCTGTATTTTAACAGGTTGTTCACATCTTTAAGCAATTTGATACAAAGATTTGTGTATAAAACCCATTATGGTTTTACAAAAATTCAATCTTTTCCAACTTTCCAAGAGCTAAATGCTAAAGGCTATTAAAAAAGCTGACTCACCAGGTCTTGGTCCTCTGGGAGGAAAACCAGGTCGTTCCCTAGGTCGTTGTTCACGCACACGTGGTGGCTGAGATTGAACTTCTGGTTTAGCTTCAACTCTTGGCTAAAATATAAGGGAAAAAAAACATACTATAAAGAAACACATTCTATAGGAAAAAAACAACAACTAAAGCAACTATCAGCAAGTCACAAACAGAGATAATGGTAATTTCAAAGTTTACAATGTTTTTAACAGAGTGTCCCTATGTATGTGAAAAATAAAATCTTTAAAGATAAATTCTGTACCAATCTAGGACTGTAGGTAGGTTTTAGTTTCCCACTCAAGGATGTATAACTCTCAAATTTTATAATCTTCTTTATTAAAGTTATACCCACATTGACACAGCATAAAGGTACTGCTAAAAAAATTAAAAAAAAATAAAAATCACAAAAATGCAAGATGAGCCCACTCCATGTAAATGCATAAACAAAAATAAAAGTTATCTTATCTTAGAAAGACACGAATATAAGACACATTATTTCTAAATATCTAGTTTGCTGGCCTTCAGATGTTACAGTGCTCAACTGTATCTCCTAACTCCCACCCCATTAAAATCAATACTTGAATAGTTCCAAGTATATAATTTAGCTTACTCTAGCACTCAAAACTGCTACTTCTAGGTTTAAATGCACATTGAACGATAAGAACTTCTATGTAGCATCTCAAATAGTCAAAGAAGTCCTTTAAGCTCCTTACTATTCTTCCTTTTGATTAACATGTACACATTTWWAAAAAAAAAAAAAAAAGCATTGTCCCAAACAATTTTGCTTAACTGTAGTTGGTAGGGAGTAGGGATAGAATAATTTAAGGTAGTCTCCAAAAGTTTCTGCTAATTGCTTAGTTAAACACATAAAGTGACTATTTTTAAAACAAAATATCATGCACATCTGCTATTACATTTTCCTTAATACAACAAAATTTTCAGAATTCCCAATCCATCCAGGCTTTCTATCATTGCCCAAATATTTATGATCCATGGAAAAGGCAAAATATATAAATCTTCAAAGGATGCTGAAAATACCCAGCAGGATATTCAGAACACATCCTCAAAGTTGAAAGCTAGTAATTTCAGTCTCATCTTTGTAAGTGATCATCTCTGAGGACCTCAACCCAAGCAACGGCTTAAACTCTTTTACCACTAATATAACTGGGATAATAAAATTTGTGAAAATAAATTTGGAGACAAAAAATTATACTTCTTTCAAATATGACATTTATATTGCCAATGATTTCACTGTAACCAAAAGATATATTAAATGATATGCTAGCAGTTTTTAACATATCTGCTCTCTCTTCCAAATTGTTTCCTCCATATAGCTGTGCCATTTTCCTCAAGATGAAATTGTTCCATGTTCTAGAATTCTATTTTAAAAATTAATTTTAAATCTCTCCAGTTTTTTTTGTATGTATTCATTCCTATAAATATTATACATGTTAATTCATTTTCATATCACACAAAGAGGGGCTGGGGAGATAGCTCAGTTGGTAGAGTGCTTGCCTCACATATCACACAAAGAACCAAGCACAGCGCTGTTAGACACAGACGTTCAACCACTATTGGTTCATTTAAAAGTAAACTTTATCTTCAGTTCTCTGACCCAAAACACATAGGAGAATGTTCTATGTCTAACAATAGGATCTTAGCCCTGAGATCACTGATGTGTGTATTTGGAAATTTTTACTAAAAAACTGATCCAAAATGTAATGCCTAATAAAGCAGTTATATTTAGAAATTTCAACTAAGGGAGTCTAAGATGCATACCTTCAGTCTGAATGTATAACAAAATTAAAGAATAGATTTGTTCTGTTCAAAGTTTAACGAAGCTAGTATATTGCTAGAAATAAAAATAGCAAATGTACCTTGTATTTAAAATTTCCAGAAAAACCATAGACACATCCATCCAAATGTTATCAAAGAACTTGAGGCACTAACCTTGACAAATTTAAGTTCTTTTCAAAACATGACCAAAACAAAGTAACTGCAGGTAGCAAAATAAGGCTCCAGATAAATTTAAATAATTTCCAACATCTTAAAAATAATTCACAACATTGATTTAGCAAGCTGACCTACTTCAGCAAGTAAATATTTGATGATACCAATGCATGAAAAATATGAGACCAAAAAGCTAACAATGTTCCTTTCAATATCTGATTAACAAAACCTAAGCCAACTGTACATTTATAATTCTTGGGGACCAATAATTGAAGCTACTTATTCCAAACAGATAAAATGGTTAATATCCCACATGCTACAACTAGGATCTTACAATTAATTTCATGTAACAATAAAGTCTGATCATGTAACAAATCCTACAAATAAATGTCAAACAGAATATGAAATAAAAATGGAACCATCAAATCAAGTCAGTAAAAGCAATTATAAACACAACTGATAAACAAGTCGTCTAGTTAACCATAAGCTATTTAGATGACCTAGGCATTTCTACACAAAACCATTTTACCAAAAAATTAACTTACCTACTTCTAAATTAATGCCTACCAATAAACTAGAATTAGAATTTCATCATTTAATCAATTAGAGTATAAAGAAATGAATATTACTTCAAAATAAAAACAAAATTGAAAAGTTATTAAACTTAGTGGAAATATAATTTATTCTAAATAGAGTGTAAACAGATAAGAAAGTACTTTTAAAGTTTAAATTTTAAACACTTAAAAATTTCTTTTTAAAATTCTAAGATTAAACAGTGTGAACCATTTACAGACTGAGAGTTTAGCCAATGTATATTAAAAAAAGTTCTCTATTTTTAAAAAACAATAATTCTTTATAATACCACACTATTTTGTGCCTTTCCAAATTTTCTTACCTAAAGTATTTTTGCAAAAAAAATTTAAAAATTTTAAAAGGAACTTTTTAAAAATTATTTTAAGAAGCCTTTTAAATGACAATATTATATATTGGTAAAACCAATACAACCTAGTTTCCTAGAATATGAAAAATAACTCTGAAAAATACTTGCAACTTAAATTATTTAAGATAATGTGAACAGTTACTTGTCTGGGCAAAAGGCAAGAATATAATGCAGTTTTAGCATTGCTTAAATATAGAACTCTTCTTTGATATAAACACAAATACTGTATCCTTCAACAAATTTCTAAAGAAATGTGTAGGTGTGCATGAGTCACATATAGAATCTAATGTTCAACTACATAAATCAAGACTCAATTCTACTATTTTAATTGTATGATCATGAGTGAGTTATTCTAGGCCTCGATTTTCTTATTTCTAAACTAGGAGAAATATTGTACCTGCTCTCACAGGATGAATGTAAGGATTCAATGTGAATAAATATGAAGTGCTTAGCACAACGCCAAGTACAAATGAAAGGTACAATAAGCATTAATTAACTTTTAACTATTTTAAATAAATGTAACCAAATCTATGAAATGAAATAACCATCCAAAGGTTCCAAATCCAAATCTGATAGGAAATTAAGATTTTAAAAGAAAAGCCACAAGTCACTTATCAGGTCTGAAACTGAGTTGAAAAGCATAAACTATACTGGGCAAACTCATTTTCTTCATTCAGATAGAGTCTGGTTTGTGATCTATGGTAACCGTTTATTTCCTGAATATTCTAACTAAAAAAGAGGTAGGGGTATTATGGCACTGTGTATTCTATTACATAACAGATTAAAATGTTATAATGTATACCAATACCAGAAAGACTGCCTAATAATTACTAGCTACTTTTGAAACCTCAAAGTTTTACTGTTTAGAGCATATATAAGGTAAATAAGCTAACAATCTTAGATGTAAATCTAGTGGAATGACATTTACTCAAAATGTGGGGAAAAAAAGAATTGGACACCTTTTAACTATGCCAATGAATTTTAAAATAAAAGTTAGCTAATCTAAACTATATCTAACAAACATCATAAATAGCCAATGTTTTTATTTTCGCATTTTTGGAAAGCTCTGAAATGGGTAAAATGACAAACAGACAAAAAGCAGAATACTGGAATGATCAATCAGTTAAGGTGAACACTACAGTCATAAGTTGGTACAGGCTTCAATTAAACAGTGTGAACCACTTACAGACTGAGAGTTTAGGTAATGTATATTAAAAAAAAGTTCTCTATTTTTTAAAAACAATAATTCTTTATAATGCCACAATACTTTGTGCCTTTCCAAATTTCTTAACTAAAGTATTTTTACAAAATAAAATTTAAAAWTTTTAAAAGGAACTTTTTATTATTTTAAGAAGCCTTTTAAATGACAATATTATATATTGGTAAAACCAACTTAATCTGTATTTCACACACCCAAACCCCAAATACCACCTATGTAGATGATGAATGGAGATTGGCATTTAAAGTGGGTGTACTGACATTTAATACAATTTTTTTGTATATTTAATCCATAATTGCTGATTGACTTGTTTAAAAAAGTATATATATAAATATATATATATATATATATATAAAAAAGTAAGCAATTGGCAATGTAACAAGGATACAATCCAATGTGTTCACAGATCGGTTACCTGTGAGACTGGTGCTTTAACATGGGGTGGAATTCCAGAGGAAGAAACAGTACCACTAGGAGGCAGGTTTTTACTGGTCACTGAAGCCCAGGAGAAAGCCTGCAGGAAATGCAACAAACCTAGACTACTAATCATGGAAAACCACCAACATTCCTATAGGGAAACTTCCAAATATATATTTTCTTTTCATTTCTAAACTATTGCTTTATATTGGAGGATTCCTACAAGAAAGGCACACACACACATGCCAGTCTATGTGCCAGCTTTCAAAATCTCATTATGCAGGATTATAAATGTTTTGTCTGAACTACTAAATAAAACCACAATCAAGTTCCTACATATTCTAAGTAGATGAGCGAGTGGCCAACAAAATCACTAACAGCTAAACATGCTAGAAAATTTTGAACCTGGTAGGACAGATTTCTTTCCCCTTTTGGGGGAAAACAGGGTGTGTGATGGTGTTAAAGGGAAAGGGGGAAAGATAGGAAAGAATAAGAATACTAGTTGAAAACTTTAAAAGACATTCTCAAATTGACAAGAAATCTCTTCCTCTCACTACCCAAACAGTTTAACCTTCTACTTTACAGAGAGATAAAAGAAGTTTTACATGCTACACTACTGGTGTTACTTATCTTTTCAAGACAGTTAATTGGTGTAGTAAGGAAACTGATCCCATTTAAACCACAAACAATAGGCATCTCTTTTAATTACAGACCAACTTAAGTTGGGAAACTGCACGATTCCTGGTGCATCTGTGCTTAGAGGATTTTATACAGAAGGGAAGAGCAACTGACAGCCTTATACATGGACTGGAATAATTTCATGTACATAACTAAACATTAAATACAGACAAAGACTAATCTGAAGTTATAAATTTCATTACTAGGGGTTTTATTGGGAGGGGGGAAAAAAACCAATGCAACTTCTTCAGGATAACAAAAAACTCCACAGCTTCTTTCATATACATAAAAAATGTATAATTTACTATATATTAAATAATTTAACACAAAACAGTCATGCTTCATTAATGACACCAAATATATATGTGTAATGTTAGAGGTCTGAAGAGTTTCTTTGATCTAACCTTTGGTGGTTCTTGTGGCAGAGAAACTGGTTCTGCAGGAGGAGGAGTAGTAGACTTCTCCTCTAATTCTTCTAAGTTCTTTTCTTCCACCTGTGGTTTCAGCTCTTCAGTCTTTGTTTCAGATTCTGGCTCGGGTTCAGGGTCATGAGAGGATTCTTCCAAAGGTTCCTCTATGCCATTACTACAATAAAGTGTTTAGTTTACTCTTCAGTATAAAATGATCAGTTAAAATAACATTCAATGTCTCTCCAGTCCAAAGAACATAACTAGTTATAAGCCAATAACCTGTTCTATAAGAAGTTGGGTTTTTTGTTTTTGCAGTATTGGGGATCAAATCCAGGCCTCTCATATGCTAGGAATGCACTCTAGTACTAAGCTATATCTCTAGCTCAACCTAACAATTTTAAAACTTGATTAACCAAGAATATTTTTACAAAAGTACTAATATTTTATAAACCCTTTATTTTATATAATGTTTTACATAAAATAGAACACTTACTCTGCATTATCTTAAACATTCAGCATTAATAGTAAATCACCACCATTTTGATGCAAACATATTCAATTTAAGTGATACAATTCTGTCCAAATTTCTTGCATACACACAATAGAACTCAAATACTGGCCTACTAGGTAGTTTTATCAAAAATTTATTTCCAGGGGCTGAGGGTGAGACTTGGTGGTAGAGTGCATATTTAGTATGCACAAGGCCCTGGGTTTGATCCAAAGCACTCACTACTAAAAGAATTTAAAAATAAATTTTTTTAAAATTTTTTTAAACTTCCAACGACAATCCTAGAAACAAAAGCTACCTTGCAACTAGCCTGTAGTTCAAACCAAACGTAACCTTGCAAATACTATTCTTACGTCACAGGGTGAGCTTCATAGTAACCACTGTTAGCATTTTCTTGCACAGGTTCAGGAGATGGTTGTCTTTCTTCTTGTTCCTCTTCTACTTCATCTTCTGACTCTGACAATATATAATACATGACATTTTTTAAGAGGATTTATATAATTTCTAATACATATTTTTAATATGTTTAAGGAAGTGGAATACTAGTTTAGAATACAAATTTTTACAAAGCTATTCAATTTCAATATTTTTTCTTAAGAAAACTTAAAAGAACAAGCAGGATAAAGTTTTTATTGTACTCTATTTTAACAAGACATATTAATAAAAAAGGAACTAAAATACATAATTCAATTTCCTTGTGACCTCTACTTAATAAAGCAGTAATTATAGAGAAGGAAACAAACTAGTGGAAGATCAATCACATAATTACAGTATTAGCCACAAAATGGACAGCCAACAAAAATATATTAGGTGAAGAGGGGAAAAAAAGCTTTTATCAGGGCTAGGGCTGGAGCTGGGGCTGAGTGGTAGAGCACTCGCGTAGCATGCATGAGGCACTGGGTTCGATCCTCAGCACCACATAAAAATAAAATAATAAAATAAAAATATTGTGTCCACCTATAAGTAAGAAATAAACATTTTTAAAGCTTTTATCATTTACCTCCATTTTGATAAAAGTGCTAGTAAGCATAGGATTAAAAAAAAAAGTCTATACATAATAGGCACCAAACTTATGATTACCTAAATGGGATGACACTGATGAAAACTTTTATGTTTGATAAAATTTCATAACAAACATCACTATCTTTCCTAACAAAAAACAAACAGTGAAAGAGAAGAAAAGGAAGTTTGACTTAGTTACAGTAAAGGGCTAAATTTCTAAACATTTCATACTTAGAGAAATTAAAGAGTTCTTAAAAGTACTGGCAGAACCCTTTTATCGTCAAAGTAATCTCACCTTCATCAAGTTCTGGTTCAGAATCACCAAATACTTCATCTTCATAGCGAAACATATCATTGTGAACATAAAATTTATTTGGAACAGATCCCTACAGGTAAACAATGTACAAATACTCCATTAATATCCATGAATTCAATATTACTCTCATTGACATATACAATTTTAATACCAGAGAGAAAATCTGAATTCATTATAATTTTCCAAAGCTAGACACACTATGATGTTAATCTAATATAAACTAAAACTCTTCTCAATAGAAGAGAATTAGGACCAATTAATAAATAGAACTTTTCCACCCCCACCCCCTCTGTGTAATCTTTGAAATATACAAATACAGAGACAGGGATCTAGTTCAATAGTAAAGCACTCGCCTAACATATATATGCGAGGTTCTGGGCTTGAGCCCTAGCACTGCAAAATAAATAAAATATACCAATATACTTTTCTATTATTTCTATATACTTAATCACCCATTTATATACTTGTATCAATCGGTACCTAACTTCTAATTCCATACAGTTATAGTACAAGGACATACACAAATAAATTGTATTAACAGATCCAATAAAATTTCTCAAAAATACACAAATCTAAACCTATTAGAAGAAACTCTTGGACACATCAACCAATAATTAACAAATTAAATCATGTAAATGAAAACTAAGTGAAATGAAAACTTACTTCAGGAGCCAGAACAAAGGTCTGCATAAACTTCCTTTCTGGCTGTCCACTGTTTGACAGTAAACCCATGACCTGAACAACTACTCCATCACTCAAGGTTGCATGAGCATCCACATGACGAATCTTAGTATGACAYTCACTGAAGTTCAGAGATAACACTTTGTGGTGTATATCCTTTATAAAGCAAAAGAGGGAAGGAAATAAAAATTCTTGTGATTCTGCACTACCTCAACAAAAACCATTACCTACCCATGACTTCCTCATACCTCCAAAACATTAACTACTTAATCTTTCTACTTCACTTGAATCCATTATACTATGCTACACACCAGTGCCAGACGGATGCTCCTAAAAAGACCATTTTCAATATTTCATCTCCCTACACAAGAAATCAGAATGCCTCTCAGATTTTGTACAGTAATCTGAGCTTGGTATACAGCTTTCTCCTACTTTCTGTAAGTAGAAAATTTCACAGTGTTGACTGCGCCTTGACGTCATTTCTAATTTTACTTTATTGTCATATTTGCTGATGCACTTTTCTACTTCCAATTTCTTTGTGTTTGGTAAAGCTAAATCTTGGGAATCTAACTGAAGTCCCCCATCTCTTCAGTCTTCCTTCCCTAGTAAGTCATAAAGAGAATATACTTCTGTGCATTCCTGAAAGAGGGTTCAATCTACATGTGTAGAAACTTACACTAGTTATTTCATGTACAATTATCAAGGATATAAACATCACATTTTCTTCACTGTATCCATCCCAAAGTAATACCATGTTTCAAACAAAATGGATGTATGTTTAAGAATTCCAAGCGCATTTGGTAATTACTGAAACTCATTCCAGGTACAACTAATAATTATAATGAAAAAGAAATCCTTTTGAGATCTATTAACACAAGAAGATGTTTAAAATTTATATGAAATGACTTACATTTTGGCCATAAACAGCTTCCTGGGGCTTTCCACTAGCATCTACTCCACCATGAACATAGGAAGAATTCCGACCATAAAACCTATAAAAACAATAATAATTAAGGATTACTAATGAATTAAAAGGCAGTAGAGTTCTAGCGTCAAATAGATTAGGCCCTAGGTCCGGCTGTCACTAGATGGGTAATCTTGGTCAAGTTACTTAATTTTCAATATTTAAATTCAATTTCATATATAAACACATACATATATACATATGTATAGTTTTGGTACTAGGGATTGAACACAGGGGTACTTAACCATTGAGCCACATCCCCAGTCCTTTTTAAAACTTTTTAAATTTTGAGACTAGGTCTTCCTAAATAGCTTAGTCCATCATTAAATTGCTGAGGCAGTCTTTGAACTTGCCATTCTCCTGCCTCAGGCTCCTGGGCCAGTAGGATTACAGGCTTGTGCCTGGCAGTTCCCTTAGCTACAAAACAGTAGAGTAGTTAACTATCTCCACAGAATGCCACAAGAATTGAATGCTTAGTATATCTGGCACACTAAGATGATAATCATTAGCTATTCTCTTCTAGTACTTATCACATCTTTATTTCAAGTGTAAGAATGAAATAGTCCAAGTACACTCTAAATACAAATGCTCTGGTAAAATTCATCTTCTTCAGATAAAAAGACTCAGTTACCTAGATTTGTCTAGAAATCAGATGTTCCATTTAATACTCAGAGCTCCAAATGATTACTAACTCCAAAGGCTTCAATTAAAAGTTTAGATTTTAAATTAAAACAATTCAGACCAAGTAAAAAGTGTAATTACTTCAGCATCTAATTTCTCATTAATATTTTTATGTTGTTCCAAAGCAGATAATAAGTTAAGAATTTCTCTGGCATTAAAGTAATTAGAATTAACATCTTTCTAAATTAATGTTATCAAAAATGTAAAGCTAATTTTTTCAGAGAGAATTCATCTCCATCATAATAAAACATGTAAGAAGTTTTTCTGTGCCAAGCAATATTCTCCGTGCATGGCATATATTGATTCATTTAATTCTCCTAACAATCTCATAAAATAAACACTATTATTTAAATGAGCAGACAGGTTCAGAAGAGATTGAATGAACTCCCCATATCATATACCCATCAATAAGAGCAGTTAGGACAAGAATCCAGATAGAATCTGACTCCAGAGTCCACACTTTTTAGCACTATCCTATATTTAAAAATTTACACTATTTTCTCTATGTACTACTACAAGCATGCAAAGTGGCATTATTTTTCTAAAGAAAAATTTGACAGAGTATGTGTGTATGTGTAGGAAAAGCCTTAGAAAGAATCATACCTTTCAAGTAACAATTCCGGGAACTTATTTCTAAGAATATAGCTTAACTAGTAAGGTGCACAAAAATGCATGGTTAAGGACATTTCTTAGTTTTGTTTATACCAGTAAAATATTTATAACAATCTTGATTTTAAGAGGGAAAGTGGTTAAATAAGCTGGGTATAAAACAGCAGTCTATGCTGTTTCTTAACATGATGGTGAACATGATAATGTACAGTCCTACTAGTCTAAACTTTGCTTTTATTGTTTCTATAAGAGAAAATGCTAATATCCATATTATGAAAAGTCCTTATATTCCAGTTTCCTCCCAACTCTCTCACATACACTGTCTCACATTTTTATTTTTATAATTACAAAAACAGTTATTCACTTTGGGGTTGGGTGGAAGGGCAGCGTGTTAATTATAACTTATATACAAGTAGTTGTAGATGAATTTCTAATCTCCTTACTAACTAGGAATGATCCGGAATTAATTATTAGCCTCAGTTGTTCAATCTGGAAAATGAGATAATAAAAGCACCTATACTTTTTTTTCCTTTTTGTAAAAAGACTTACATAAGGATTAAATATAATGATACACATATTTCAGTACTTGGAAAGGAGCACAACAAACATTATTTATAAAAATGCCCCTAGAAAGCAGAAATTATTACACATATGTTCAACAGTGCAGGACAAATTATGAAAGCTAACTTTATAGAACACTTGATTAAGACGATCTACAGATGAAGGGCTGGAAATGTTGKTTCAGTGGCAGAACACTTGCATAACGTGTGTGAAGCTCTGGGACTGATCTTCAGCACCGCCAAGAGAGAGAGAAAGAGAGGGAGAGAGAAAGAGAGAAGGATAGATACACTGAGATCAACAGATGAATTTAAATCTTAACAGCCTTTTCCCAGGGGAAGAAAAAATGATATATTTCTCTTTAACTCACTCAGTGTGTTCTACAGCAAATACTTAACAAATCCTGATTCTTATAAGAATCTCACCTTCTACTTGGTAAGATATAACCAGAACAAAATAAGAACAACCCACAACATAAATCAATTTCATTTCAATCTCTGGAAAAATTAGCTTACAGCTGGCCTAACTCTTGCCAAAATAGTAAACAAGGCTACTATTACTTTACCAAGGAACACTATTTTGTAGATTCAAATACAAATTTTCATTAAGAATATTACTGATTAATTTCCCGAGACTGTAAAAGCTCAAAGATGCCTTAAGACATTATTTCTAATTTCATATTGGAACCCATCAGTCGGTCATGTCCCACACATTACTCTTTTAATGAAATATAAAATGCAAGAGTATACAAAAAAGTATGTGTATGCATATATACATACATACACACACACACACACACACACACACACACATATGAATGTATGAATGTACTAAGTACTGGGATATAAGTACTAAGTACTTTAGAAAAAATACCAGTCTTGAGTCATTACATGATAAAAAGTAGTAGATATGGCTTAGAGATGTTTATAAAGATACTGTTAAATTATGAGGAGTCAGGAAAGATAAAATATATGTAGTAATAAAAAAAACTAATAAAAACACAAAATTTGTTTAAAATTTACCTGTGTAAATATTCTGGAGCTTTATTCAGCAAAGTATAATATTGCCTCACAAACTCTCGCCCTACAAGCAGCGGACTGGGCTTCTCCATAACCATTTCTTTGCTGCACAATGTCAAATGCTGAGGGAGCAAACACAAGAATAATTAACTATTAAAAAATCATCTTTGTAAACTACCATGAAATACATTTTCTTTTTTTTAATTTTTTTTTTAATATTTATTTTTTAGTTTTCGGCGGACACAACATCTTTGTTGGTATGTGGTGCTGAGGATCGAACCCGGGCCGCACGCATGCCAGACGAGCGCGCTACCGCTTGAGCCACATCCCCAGCCCGAAATACATTTTCTTACCACTGAGCTACATCACCATCCCTTTTTTTTTTTTTTTTTTTTTTTTTTTGAGACAGGGCCTCGCTAAGTTGCTGGAGCTGGCCTCAAACTTGCAATCCTATGAAATGTTTTTTTAAGACATAAAAATGGGAATAAAGAAAATTAACATTATTCATTAAAACTTAACTTACAACAAAAGTCCTAGTGGCACACACCTGTAATGCCAGCTACTTGAGAGGCTAAGGCAGGAGAATCAAAAGTTGGCAGCCAGCATGGCTAACATAGGAGACCCTGTCTCTCCTCCCCCTCAAAATGAAGGGTGTTGGGGATGTAGATTCATGGAAAACCAAGTGTCTAGCATGGTGAAACCCTGCATTCAATTCCCAGTACAAATTTTTTTTTTTTTTACAACAAAACAATAATTTCCAATCTTGAAAGTTTCCATCTTCTTTTATCCCTTCTTGATTTCCCTAACCCTTAGTATAGGAGGAAGAAATTCCAAGAAGAATTAGCACAAAATAGACACAACTTCTCATCATTTATGCTTATAGCACATAGAACAACCAAAATTATAACATTAGTAACTGAGCAGGAGAGAGGCAAAAATATATGCAAATCTGAGTATGACTTCTTTTTCAAAAAAACATGTAATTGGGATGCCGGTGCAGCTCATTAGTAGAATGAGTGCTTTGTATAGATAAGGTCCTGGGTTCAATCATAAATACAAGTTATTTACACATCAAGCATCCTTTTTCACTATACTTCAAATCACTTGAACAATAATCAGTAATTATCTTTTGGGCAAATAAAARTGCAGCTTAAATTCCTATTTTAACAAATTTGAACACACTTTAAACAATTAAAAACTTTCATAGCCAAAAACAGCCTACAATAGTCATGACAATATGATGCYGTTTTCATAAAAGTCAGGTATTGATTATGATAGAACATAGATAAGACTGTAGCACTACACAATTCTAGCAACTTCCAACTCAGCTTTACATCATGTTCTATTGGGTTCCTTCCTTCTCCCTTTGCAATTGTCCTGAAATTTTCAAACTTGATGTACAAAAATACCCAAATATGTTTAAATGTATTTATAATGCCCAATTTACTTTCAGAAATAGTAAATTCACAAAGCCATGTCCAGCTATAGCCCTTTTGAGTGCCACTTATTTTCTCCAAACTTAAAACTTTCAATAAGGTAGGTTAGGCTAACTACCCTTAATGCATAAAAGGACTGTCACTTCCTACATTTAAATAATAGATGATCATGATAACTACTCATCATGTACAATTACAAGAATAGGAACTTAAAAATGAGGTAGCAAAGCTGGGATGAGAATGCAACTCAGTGGTAGAGTACTTTCTTAGCATGTATAGGCCTTGGATAGATTCCCAGCACCACCAGAAATAAAATACAGTAGCAAAACTAAGCAACTTAATGTTTTTATTTCAAATAATGGGAGATWAAAAAAAAGTAGAGCTACCTAGTAAGGCTTTATAATTAAAATGGAGAAATTATGCAATTTTAATATTGTTACAATGGATGTTAAAATAATAAAGTGCTGGGTATCCTATGCCTACAACCCCAGCAGCTTAGAAGGCTCAAGGCCAGCCTCAGCAACTAAGCAATGCCCTAAGCAACTTAATGAGATCCTGTCTCAAAATAAAAAAATAAGGGCTAGAAATGTAGCTCAGTGGCAAAGTAGCCTGTGTTAAATACCTGGGTGGGGGAAGGGACATAGAATAAAATACCCCTGGATAATACAATTATGTACAAAACTTTCTTCAAACTGTGACAGAAATGCTATTAGGGAGCTGAGGATGTAGCTCAGTGTAAAGAGCTTGCCCTGGGTTCAATCCCAGTACAGCAAAAGGAGGGAGAAAGAGGGAGGGGAAGGGAGGGAAGGAGAGAAGGAACAGGGAGAGAGAGAGAGGGGGAGAGGGGGAGAGAGAAAGAGAGAGAGAGAGAGAAAGAGAAAGAAATAAAGAAATGCCATTAGGGATCATTTCTGAATTTTGGGTAATTTCCACATCTTGTACAGTAACACCTGTTTTTATCTCAAATTTCATCATATCCATAAAATAAATATTTCACCTACCATTTTTACCTTTACATATTTGGTTCTTTCTCAAAATAAAAAGTTGCCAAATACACATATCAAAGACAAGTCAAAATACTTTTAAGATTCATTGTAAAAAAGTTCAAGAGAGGCTTCAAATTGCTCACTATATATAAAGTCACTAAAGTATACTGGTCATAATAGTATCAACTGCAATCAAAAGTGAAGAAGAGATAACCAATACTCAATTTATCATTATTCAGTAAGTTATTATTTATCATTAATATTTATCATTATTCAGTAAGTTATTATTTAGCATAACTTATTCAAAGGAGGAAAGAGGAAACATTAAAAATGAAACTCAAATGGTGAATGAGATAATATATAAAATGTGTTATGTATAGTCTACTATTTGTTTTAAAGTGAGGAAGAAGCTCCCACAGAGGATGGTAAGACAAAATGAAGATGTTACTAAGAAAGTGTTTCAATACAATACTTACAAATCAGGTCTTTACCACTCTTACTTAAAATGATTCAATTCAGAAAGCCAAGATATAATTGATGGAAATCAAGCAGAAAGTGAAGGTACTAGAGAAAAGAAAGAAAAAACCCTACTACTTATTTATGGACTAATACATGTGTCCTTCATGAGCAACTGCCATTTTACCCACCTTCCATTTCTCTGCCCATCTTCCAATTTTCTCCCCTTGAGAAGGGAGATTAGTTCAACAAATAAGGAATGGCATCAAAAAAGTATTTGGTATAGATTATAGATAAGCCACAGAAAAAGTAGTTTGAATAGGTGGGGAAAATATATTGATATTACTCAATTTTGTAACGCATACATAACCAGTGCATATAAGGAAAAAAAAGCCAAATTACACTCTGAAAAAAATGTGATTACAAATAAAAAGAATAGTGTGCTTTTTATTCTTCATAGCTATGTAACCCAACTAACTGATAAATGATTATTGGATTTGGATGTTTCTTTTTTCTTTTTAAAGTCATCAAAATAAAGTTCAGAACACAAGAGTGAGAAAAAAACGTATCTATGATCATGAAAAAGTCTCAACCTTCCTGAATCTCAATTTCCTAAAATAAAAATTGAGAAGAAATCTCTGGTCAACCCTAGAAGACCACACACAGTATAAAAACAATCTTAGCATCTCTTCCATTGGATTAGAATGGCTTTCTCATAGTTTATTTTAGAAAGCTGTTCAATATATTAAAGCAAACCAGAAAAAAAAAAAAAACAATATTAGAGGTTGCTCYTGCACCTTTAAAGATAAGAGCAATTATCACCACTGCTTTACAGAAAGTGACATTTCATGTATTAAACCCCATTTCTTGCAATGACACCTGAAAACAGGGAGATTGCACTGTGTAGTAAGACACAATATAAAATTTATCCTGGCTCTGGATAAAGAAATCTTTTGTGAATTAAAAACATTAGCAATACTATTTATTTATACAGATCCTAAGATGCTTATATCCAGCTTCATTTCACTTTACAGAGCCTGGAATACCTTTTAGAGACTAAGGTCATTCTATTCTTCTACTCTGCCTACCCTACCTCAAGTCCCTGTGAATTTTTAATCAACATCCCTTTTATTTATTACACTTTCTTAAAATTTTTCCTTTCCATTTGCCTAGACTTAATTCCTGAAGCACATCTACTCCAGCTCTCATAAGAAACTGCTCAAAAACCAATTGTCACCCATTCTTTATGAATCTCTCAATAATAAACATTGAGTGTGTCAATAATACACATTGAGAGGTAGTAAAGGAAGAAATAAGAAACACAAATAAGATCCCCCAAAAAAGTCACACTAGGCTTTAGATTCTACATAATATATTCATCTCCTCAACTTCAAAATAACTTTTTTTTTTTAAACTGGGTATCATGGCACACAATTAAAATCCCTATTTGGGTGGCCAAGGCAAAATCCTAAGTTTGAATCAGCCTGAGCAACTTAGGCAAGACAGTTTCTCAAAGTAATAAAAATGACTATGGATGTAGCTCAGTAGTAGAGTGCTTGCCTAGTATGAGGCAGGCCCTGAGTTCAATTCCCAGTACCACTAAGAAACAAGAACAACAAAAACAATGAAGCCCACCCCCCACCCACATACAAAAAAAAAAAAAAAAATATGGCTTTTCCTGCTAATGAAAACTTCAACTTTTAGGCAATAAATATAGAGCTTATTTAAATTTACTTTTGAAACTGAGAATAAAGGAAGTTTAGTAAATCATTAATATAATGGGGCTGCCTCCAAGTTAAACAATCTCGGGTTATGTTAACACAGACGCAAAGTCTAAAATGAGGTGTCAGTTCTGAGATAAATACAAATTACAGGAAGGTAGATTTGGATTCAATATAATGCAAGAATAACCAGTTATTCAAATGTCCAACAGTTACTTCATAAATAGACAGTCACTCTAGGTTTTCCAGACATTAACTGAACAAGTTAGCAGAAATATAGTAAAGGGATCCAAAAGAGTAAGATTAGGTTCTTCCAACACCAAGATTCTAGAAGTCTGTTAAAAAGAATTGGACTTTTGCCTAATCATCTACAGTTATTTCATATCTTCCTACCTATAATGATTGAAACACTCTGCATTCATCTGGGCCCAGTTAAAATATTGTCCTCCTGAAAATCTTCCACAATTCAACAGACTATAACTCTTTCCTCTAATTTTCAAAGTTCTTTTGGCATTTATCATGG